TATATTTTCGCGTTTGGAGAATGTGCAGTGTTGATAAAGAGTATAAATGTGTACTGAATGATTTGATTCACTTCTCAGATTTATTAAAGCTACATTTACATTGGCTAATTCGAAGATTACCAGAACTTGACCCTTAAGCGGAAATCTGGGTTTAATGAGACTACACCATCAAAACACATCCTAGGATTTGCGGTCCGTTGGGAGTGCTGCACAAAAGCAGTTTCTTTCTTGCATAATTTGCTGAGATTGATAAGCTTGGTTGATTAATTGGTGGCAAAAGTATTGTCTCAATTAATAAAATCAATCCTGGTGGGGTTTTTTTTCAGGAAACAATTTCTACACTACTAGTTTAGAGTTAGAGTCTGAAAAAAAACCCTGCAAATTTTATGTTTTCTAAAATTGTCTTTTATTTCAACATGTATTTTTTTCACAAATGCTCAACAAAATTTAAAATTACAAGGTAGAAAAGCATTATTTGAAATAGATAAATATTATACAAGTTTGAAAATGTGATCCCAGTGGTAAAATATGAAATATTTGACACGCTAATTTCGCTAATTCTCAATAACGGATAAAAGGTATGGGAATTGTAATGAAGGAAATGCTGTTGAACACTTGCACCTAACTTGTGGGGTTTACACAATTTACCCAAATTCATTTTGTAGACTGTTGATTGAGTAGCGTCTCGTTAAAATCAATTTTAGGTATTATGAAATACTGGACTAAGCTTATCTCCTTAGACAGCAGAAAATATGTGGTACCAAATCCTTATTGCCGTAGAAATTGTCGTACCAAATCCTTATTGCCGTAGAAATATGTCGTACCAAGTCCTTATGGCCGTAGATATAATTATCGTGCCAAATATTAATTGCCGTATAAATTGTCGTACCAAACCCTTATTGCCGTAGAAACATGTCGTACCAAACCCTTATTGCCGTAGAAATGGTCGTATCAAATCCTTATTGCTGTAGAAACATGTACCAAATCCTTATTGCCGTAGAAATAATTGTCGTACCAAATCTATATTGCCGTATAAATTGTCGTACCAAACCCTTATTGCCGTAGAAACATGTCGTACCAAACCCTTATTGCCGTATAAATTGTCGTACCAAATCCTTATTGCCATAGAAATGAGACAGTGGACATAATTGGTCAGTTATTTATCAAATAGCCTTGGTCTGTGGGAAGTGACAATAAAACAAGCTCCTAGTAATACAAAGGGTTCCTACTATTTGCTTCGAAATTGGCAATCAAGACTCGGAAAAATGTTTGAGGTCTAGATTATATAGAAATGTGCCATTACATCGGTGTATGGAAAATTTGAATAAAGACCAATTACAGAATTTAGAACATTCTTTTCAAAAAGAAGGACGTTTTTCCCTCCGTTACAGACTGATACAATGAGACATAAAATTGTATTGTATTCCATTGTATTCCACTATATTAAATACTTTATAATGTTTCCTACTTGCTGCAAGATATGCATTGATTTTTATTAGGAAGCTAAAGTTATTACCCTCTAAGGAACAAGTATATTCACTCTTATATTTAAGCGTGCTAGAACATGCTGAAATTATTTAAGTTAATAATTTCCACGAAATTTACTGAGGTTGGAATATTGGGAAGTACAATTTCAACGTAATAGTATGATAAATGCTACTCAATTAAATAAAATTACATTTTATTAATTTATTGCTAATTGTTATTAATTTTTTTATGCTCATCGTTACTTAATCACATCGATATTTTATTGATGTAATACATGAATTACCATCAATCGTATCTTATGAATAATTTTCTTCTGATACTACAATGAAATCATTCTAATACAACATATATTGGTGACACTGCGTGCGTGCGTGCGTGTGTGTGTGTGTGTGTGATTTGGACTTTTAACGTAGTTTTAAAAAATTTTCAGTCATATCTCTATCATGTCTGCAATGTAGCAGTTTATAGTGATTTCTAGCACTGGGGCATCATGCCGCAGACATGTAGCATGATGTCCCACCCAGTCACATTATCCTGACACCATAACGACCAGTCCTAACACTATCCTCCTAGCGTCAAGCAAGGAAGCTGCTAGTACCATTGCTGTACTCTCTTCTGTGTATTCTCCCGAATGAACTTCATTTTAGTGAACGCACGAGAATGAATATATTATTTTTATTTTACAGGTCACACAGTAATGTGTTAAATACTTTATATCATTTCTATGTATGTATGTATGTATGTATGTATGTATGTATGTATGTATGTATGTATGTATGTATGTATGTATGTATGTATGTATGTATGTATGTATGTATGTATGTATGTATGTATGTATGTATGTATGTATGTATGTATGTATGTATGTATGTATGTATGTATGTATGTATGTATGTATGTATGTATGTAATATGCAGGTCTACATATGTGTTTATACGTGTGTATATGAGTGTGATTATGTATACGTAAGTGCGTATCTTTAGTATTGATTGAATATTTGTACATGAGATATATTTATTTTACTATATGCATTAAATGTCCCTTCATTATTTATTTCGAACAAAAACTAAATGTATATGTATATAATAGATGATGGTCAAGCGACTAAATGAAAATAAAATTCATACTTTAAAATGCCCTTCCTTGGTAATCCAAGACTGCGCAGTAAAAGGCTATATCGCTTAATATGAACTCAAAAATGTTACGCTTAAGGTAGTACTTGTATTGTAACATGTGTTCTTTGTTTTTCGTCGGCTTTACTTTGCTTTCTGTATGTAGACCGTGATTTTAATTGGTGACAATTTTGAAACTTTAAGAATAATGATGACGTAACTGTAGATAATAATCTCATCGTAGCACTGTACATTTTTTAAGATTTCATTGTGACACATAACGGAGTGTATTTTGTAGATGTTATTATGACATAGCAGACAATGTTATGGATCAATTCGCATTGATAACTAGTTCTGTTGGAGAAAAAAGAAACTTAATTTATATGTACTATATTAATTGTCTCTGGAGTGAGGGAAAATTGAAAAATATGTAGACAAATAAAGTTATGTAATTTTGAATTCAAGGTTGTGACCTGAAACCAATTAGCAGCTGCAGTCTGTTGTGAAATATAATATTGGTATTCTGAAGAGTAACGGAGAGTAGAATGCATTCTCAATTCAGAATATGAGAAACAAACAAGAGACTGACGCATATATTTTATTTTAAAAGAAAAAAGCTTCCTCGGCTGAACGTAAGAGTGAACGTTTGAATATGAGAGTTGTCAACCCATAAGAGATTGGACAACTGAGAGCGGGCACTAAAGATGGTGGCAAGAGTAGTCCAGTGTATTAAAAGCGTTCCTGAATAAGTCGACCCCAGCTCTGGAGAGTGACCAGCGACCATTTATCTGTTATGAAAACATGCCGAACAATTATAGTTCGAAAAGCTCACTCAATTTCGTGATGAAATTTGTCGTGTCTACGAAAAATGGAACTGCGAATTACATTTTAGAACTCTTGAGTTAATTTATTTTTAAAGTAAAGGTTCATCTTACAATTAGTCTTGTACAATTTTATTTTGTTTATCTTGTTAGTCAAATTATTATTTTAACGGGGTATCGTGTTGTTCTGTTCTATATATCTGCTCACATCTTCATTAATTCTATCCATCAGTTTCATTTTTTTTAAATATTCGCTGGATCCAGGCTATATCACCGTGATCGATCGTTTTCAAGACTTTGAATACCATAAAAATGAATATCCCATAATACCCATTCTAATATTTGTCATGGCAAATACACTGACGTAAAGATCAATGGGGTCAAGTACGTCTTAAAAAAACTTGTTTCCATGTTATTTCGTCGTTTACAATTCTAATTACTACGCATATACTGTACGCATATATCATACAAATTAATCATCCACTAAACTGGAGAATATGAAACATTCAATTCGATTTTTATGTAATACGATTTGCCTATTGCAGTTCTACCTCCCAATGATAAATGATACTGGAATTGACTTCCAGTGAAGATTAACCGTTTGCAAAGAAGCGTATCGGAAACATGCGTTTAATACAGAATGAGGAAACCGTGAACTCAAAACAGTTTTAAATGGAGTATTTAATTAAATGGAGTAATTAACGAAAGCAGTTGAACATTTTGAAGGAGTAACTGCAAAGGAATGTATTTTAGATCATATGGAAATACTCGACTAGCAAAGAAAAATGGTGTGAAATAATTTTGACTTTGAAGAAAAAATGTATATTAAATGCATAACTCGTAATAGTTTCTTACATTACCATATAAACTGCGTCATATTATCATCATTCTATTTCAATTCCAAAGATAAAAAATCTCATTTCTAGTTTGAAACGTATAAAAGAAACGTAAATGTACAAGAAAAAGTTTATAAAATAAAATTAGCTGAATGGGTTAGAGGTTAGTGACAATAATATTTTATATACAGAGAAAAATCATGGCACACAGTAACTTGGGTCACGTATGCGTTTAACCGAATCGTCACAGGATGTATTAGTCTTAAGATAGAGGAAGTCCCCGTGCTTTTACTTCGTTTTCATACTAAGGACAATAACATAGACTTAAAATGGTTGGATTTCATTTTGATGTCTGAGAAAACCTTAATCAGATTGATGCAGTCAGTTACTCTGGTAGATATCCTAAAATTGAAGTCGTCTTGTCATTGGCATAGTCGTAAATGTTCATCTGAAAAGGAAAATGTCATTCATAAAATAGGCCTACTGAAAAGTTTGAGCCCTGCACTTGGTCCTAATATATCAGTCCCAACTATTGAATTGTCTACTGTGAAACATTATGTTCGGCTTGAGATGGCTTGCTGTCGTTTTATTTGCTGTGTCTGACAGTCAGTTTGCAACAGTTTTGTGGAGTCAAATACAGCGGACAATTCTAATTTTTTTTTTAAAAAAAAAGTCCAGCTGGCGTAGATTTGTTCGGTCTAAATGTCATTCTTCAGAGAACCAACATGCTTGACTCAAATCAAGACTTTACCGCTACGGTGGCCTAGTGGTTAGAGCGTCCGCCTCGGATGCGGGAGGTCGTGGGTTCTATCCCCAGTCGAGTCATGCCAAAGACTTACAAAAATGGTACTAACAGCTGCTTCGCTTGACGTTCAGCATTAAGAGGTTGGTGTTAGGACTGGTCGGCCTGGTGTCAGGATAATGTGATTGGGTGGGACATCCTGCTACATGTCTGCGGCATGATGCCCCAGTGCTAGACATCACTATAAACTGCCACACTGCAGACATCGTAGCGATATGACTGAAAAATTATTAAAGCTACGTTAAAAATTATATTCACCACACTATTCCTCAAAATGCCTGATCAGAAGAGTCTAACGTTTCTTACATTATGGGTGAAATATATTTTTAGAGCAGATGGTCATCTAATTGCAAATTGCTCTTTGAAAGCGTTTTGATGTAGTTAAGAGAATAATAACTGAACAAGAGTTTCGTTTATCAAAAGGGTCATTTTTCTTGCATATTGGGACAGCTCATGCTTCTTTGAACCTGGATGGGAATCTATTTTGATTACGGTTATAGTTTATGAGAGTGTTTTTATTGAATTACTTCCATATTTTAATTATTTAGGTCACATGAGTTACGCTTTGAATGATTATGTTAGACATGTCTTTTACTGTGAAGTTTTCATTGACATGGTAGAAATCCTTAGAGATATTTACAAAGAAGTCGTCTAAAATCATGTCTATTCATATATAATCATTATTAAATGTCTTTTTATTGGAAAATGCTCGAATTTGGTGAATAAAACCGCTTGCATTTAACAGTGTTTGTGTGTGTGTGTGTGTGAGTTTGTAATTTTAAGATAGCTTTAAAAACTTTTCAGTCATATCGCTACGATGTCTGCAGTGTGACAGTTTATAGTGATGTCCAGCACTGGGGCCTCATGCCGCAGACATGTGGCATCATGTTCCACCAAGTCACATTATCCTGACACCATGCAGACCATTTTATTGTTCTCAAAATCTAATGTCTTCTTGAAGGATAAAATCATGGATGTAATCAGTGGTTTACTGTATGAATCTATTTGTCTAAAATCTAAAAATAACCTTTTACAAACTGTACTGGTCCTAGAAACAAAAAGTTACAGCTTGATCTCTGATACGCAGAACCAAATAAATATGACATGCGGAAAATTTGGACATGTCTTTTGTATAGCATATATCAGGTATGTGGAAACGTTGGACGTGTCTTTTGTGTATTATATATTAGGTATGCGAAAGCTTTGGAAAAGTTTTTGCTGTAGTATATCACAGGTATGCGGAAACTTCTGGACAAGTATTTTTGTAATATATCTTAAGTATGCGAGAACATTCGATAAAAGTCTTTTTGTAAGGTATCTACTTTCATATATATATATATATATATATATATATATATATATATATATATATATATATATATATATATATATATATATACATATATATATATATATATATATATATATATATATATATATATATATATATATATATATATATATATATATATATATATATATATAATGAGAATTAGTAAAACAAATTATAGTGTGGACATTCCATGAAAAGGTATACAGATATAAACAGATTGCATTTCTTTATTTTTAAAATCACTTATGTAGCATAAACGACTTTTGGTGTCAATGTAATCCAGGACACATAGCTGAGTTCAGTTTTGAAAATAAATATAAGGATAACAATATTCAAAACCAGCAATAATTATTTACAGCACAACATTTAAAAATTATTAAAAGAAACATGTTCCAACTAACCAACCATTAGATATTCTTCTGAAAAGAAATTGATGGAATGCATAAATATTGCACATTTCAGGAACGTGTAGAAACTACACAGATTGCTGAGTATTGACAAAAGTAACCTTTTGTGAAAATTTAATATTTGAGTATTGCATAGCCGTTGTTTTCCTTTTTGTTTAAAACAAAAACGCTGAACCGAACCGTATATACTTCCATTAAAGTTGGATTCAACTGAAATAAAATCATAGACCAAGATCTGTCATCGTATCATGCGCAGGCAAATCTAAGTCTATGCAGTTATTAGAACTGACCAATAGAACAAGCAACACAGACCTTGACTTAATAGTGCATTATGCAACGTAAAATCATGATCTATATTGATTGCTGGTCGATTATAATTAAGCACAAGAATGTGTATTAAGTTTTAAAATCTTAATTAAAACATATGCATAACAACTAGTTTGTTCCCTTAAATTTCCATGAAATGTCACAAAATGTCACTTAATTTCATTTAAATGTCAAAATGCTCAGCCAAAATCTTGGTGTGGTATCAACACATAAATGAATTCACTTTCTTTGCACTCGTTATCTACCGTGGACTCGCTTATGAGTCGAATCCATCTGTAAATTACAATTACCCAGATCTGCCGTCGCATACTGCGGAAACAGATCTGCCGACGGATACTGCGGAAACAGATCTGCCGACGCATACTGCGGAAACAGATCTGCCGACACATACTGCGGAAAAAGATCTGCCGTCGCGGAAACAGATCTGACTGCATGCAGTTTGTTAGGAGTAAACAAACAACACAGAACTAAAATGCCGGGGTTTTGTGCGACTGCATATCATGGTTTATGTTTGGACTCGACTTATCAGCGAGTACGACGGTAGTTCTCTACCGCGGAATGTTAGCTTCAATAATTTATTTTTTATCAAGCACAATAAGTTTGGTTAATAAAATGCTTCTTTCATTGTGTGTGTATGTGTGTGTGTGTGTGTGTGTGTGTGAGAGAGAGAGAGACAGAGACAGAGACAGAGACAGAGCATGTGACGATGTAACAACATGCTTAATAATTCCTAATTCAATAATTTATTTTTTATCAAGCACAATAAGTTTGGTTAATAAAATGCTTCTTTCATTGTGTGTGTGTGTGTGTGTGTGTGTGTGTGTGTGTGTGTGTGTGTGTGTGAGAGAGAGAGAGAGAGAGAGAGAGAGAGAGAGAGAGAGAGAGAGAGAGAGAGAGAGAGAGAGAGAGAGAGAGAGAGAGAGACAGAGCATGTGACGATGTAACAACATGCTTAATAATTCCTAAAATATTTTTAGCGAGTCTAGAATTAATGTTTCATCTATAATCGTACATTTCAAGCGGTCAACTTGACTAGACTACGAAATGTGAAATCAAATCACCTAAAACTGATTTAGTTGACATAGGACAAATACTTACAGTTCATTATGATAACGAAAATTTACATCTTTACAGTCTTGACTGAAATGTGTGTGTGTGTGTGTGTGTGTGTGTGTGTGTGTGTGTGTGTGTGTGTGTGTGTGTGTGTGTGTGTTGACCATTAAGTACAAATTACCGGCCTTCGTGTGACTCGTGTTGACCATCAAGTACAAGTTGCTGGCCCTTGACTTCTCATCTTAACCATACGAATCTTTCGTCTGACTAGCACTTAACATGATCAACAAATGAGCGGTTTTCACAGTTCCTAGATGTGGTTTGTTGTTCTTTGAAGGTGTAAAGGTGAACTACCGTACATCCGGGTTTCTAAGTAAAACCAAATGCAAACAATATAAACAATATATAAACAATATAAACCTTGATCTGCCGTTGTCAAGGCGTTGGCAGATCGGGGTAAATTTCTTTTTCTTTTCATCACATCTAGCAAGCTGGATAGATCCAGATCTGCCAGTGCCTTATGAGGCGACATATTTAAATCGGTAAAGTTTTGCAATTTGAATCAATTTACAGAGAAAAATGGTTAGTGTTAGGACTGGTCGGCCTGGTGTCAGGATAATGGAACTGAGTGGGACATAATGTTATCTGCGACATGACGCCCCAGTGCTAGACATCTCTATAAACTGTCACTATAAACTATCGTAGTGATATGACTGATAAATTGTTAAAGCTACGTTAAAAATACACACCCACAGAAAAAATTGAAATGCTCATTTAGTAAGTCATCCCTTGAATATATCTAATGTTAGTCATGCATAATCTGGGGTAAATTACATGTAATATAACACATTTATTCTAGCAAATCATTCTTCATACATTATAGTTATAAATTATAATATCAATACGAGATTGTTATTCTATATAATTATAGCTTATTATCACTGTGAGATTGTTATTATATATAATTATAACTTACAATATCACTGTGAGATTATTATTATATATATAATTATTGCTAATTATATCACTGTGAGATTGTTATTATATATAATTACAACTTACAATATCACTGTGAGATTGTTATTATATATATAATTATTGCTAACAATATCACTGTGAGATTGTTATTAAAAATAATTATTGCTAACAATATCACTGTGAGATTGTTATTATATATAATTACAGCTTACAATATCACTGTGAGATTGTTATTATATATATAATTATTGCTAACAATATCACTGTGAGATTGTTATTATATATAATTATTGCTAATAATATCACTGTGAGATTGTTATTGTATATAATTACAGCTTACAATATCACTTGTCAGATTGTCATTACATAATAAGCGATCTAATTCGGAATGCAGCACATTCGACTGAAACAGTGCACTTAAATCATACAGGTTCGAAAATAAAAATGATTTTCTAAATATTTTACAAATAATAAAGTATGCTGCATCATACAAACATAATAAAAGAAGATAAACAACTGAATTAACGCATAGTTATGCCGATTTCATATTGGTACCAGTAAATTCTCTTTCTATCCTCGTCTAAGTGTCAAATAAAAAGTGGTTGAAAATAAATACATTTTATAAATCACTTAATATGAAGTCTTAGTATTCTTACAATAGGAACAATGTATTAATAAAAGCTCTTAAAACAATACAAATTAAATCATAGTATTTCATTTACGGCAATGTCTGTGGCTTTGTGTACAATTAGAAGAGATATGACTACAATAATAGGTACGTGAGTAGAATGGACACAAAAAGGACAATTGCAGTATACAGCGATAAAAATTTTAGTAGGTTGAATTAGAGGGGATTGGAAGCCTTTGTGGTAACGATGGTAACGAAACGAATTATTTTTATATTTAGATTTTTTCCCCTCTCCAA